TGAAAATTTGCATATGAGTTATGCAAGCATTCATTTCCGATAAATCCTAAACTAAAAATAATTAAAATTTTGGATTTGTAATAATAAATTGGGTTTTTAAAAAGTATTAATCAAACGATTATTACCCATTTATGTATTCGGATAAAGCACGGTATATTGTTAACCTTTTAAATGTATTTTTAACTGATCTTTTTTCCATTATTTTATAAGGTTCGAAATAAGTGACATTATCGGGTAAATCGTAAATTACTTGAAAATTAGTAAACCAAGATAGTGAACCACCTTCGATGTTTACGGGTATCGGTGTACTTATTCCCGTAACAAACTAAAAAATATCACAAATAATAATAATACAATAAAATAAATAATTAAAATAACTTAAAATTTACTTTAATTGATGCACCATATGGATAAATAATCTGACCGTGAACAATGCTACCAATTGTAATTGTAAAAAAATAAAAAATTATGATTTTATTCATTTTACTATATTAATTTAACCAAAAAATTTTAACAAAAACTTTATTTAACATTAAAACATTAAAACTTAAATAAAAAAACTAATTTACTATGATAAACTACAAAAAACTAAGCTATTTTCGGTACTGATGGATTAACGTTATTTTAACAATTTTTAATTCTTTTAAAAAAACAAACAAATGCACACCTTAAAACCAAATTTTTTTTTATTTAGAAAATCAATTAATAATAAGATTTAAACAAAAAAATAACGGTTTTTTAAAAATGAATTCCTCTCATTGGTGACTAAATAATTTTTCACACAAATTTAAAAAAAAAAAACTTTTGATGATTTCCTCTATAACTCAAAATAAAAAATATTGGGATAAAATTTTATTGTTAATTTAATTAAAGAAAAAGATGGAGTCAACATTTTAAAGGAATTTAACACTAAAATTAAAAATGATTATTACTGTAATCATATTTAATGACTTTTAATATTTAGGCCCTCTGCCATTCTTCGGATTCTCTGGGATGTAAATAATAAGCAACAGATGACAGATTATTTTCTTTGTAAAAGTTTATTTAAAAAAAAAAAATGCCTGGAAACATATCATCATGTATCCGAATCACAATGGTCATCATTTTCCTGTCTTTAAATATGATTTTCCATATCAGGTGTATTTTAAAAATATGACTTTGAATATGAAAAAACATTTCGATTTGTTGAAATAGAAGAAACTTAAGCATTAAATAAAACCCAATTATCATCACCTGATCTTATTCATCTAAATAAATTTCATTTTAATTTAAATAATTAACAACTTCACTAACCATCATG